AAAAATTGAACATATAGATCTATTATAATGCTTTGATCTCTGAAACTGATACAGTCTAATATTATGAGAGGGTTTGTATCATTTATTTCTTACATTTTAAGTCTGAGGTGTGTTTATGATTAATAGCATAGGTTTTTTTAAAGCAATCTTTCCATATTAAAATTTAAAAGGATACCTTTGTGTAATCATGAAATGTAGAAAAAGTCTTTATTTTTCCTCAGTTCTAATATGTAAAGTTGATTGACTTTCTTAAACTTCAGTTTCCTCTTGTATCTGGGTAACAGCAACAGCTGCCTGGAAGGTTTCTGTAAGGGGTGGGAAATCGGGGGAGTCATGTGCTGAGTGCACAGAAAGTGCTCAGTTGTTATTGTTATTGAGCTGTTGAAACCCTTAGCAGAAGCTGCAGTTAATCTCCAACTCCAGCCTTTTCTGGTCCTACCAAGCTGTATCTTAAATTGTGATTTTGATGACATTTTTTCAAGGAAAGAAAACCCCAATTTCCTAAGTTTTCAAAAGTATAAGTAAACCCTCTGTAAGAGTTCACCTTCCTCCCTTTTGTAAAATCTTTTCTAAAATCTGTAATTTTCCTGCTTCTCAGTATTTAATTTATTGCTCCGTGGTGGTATGGTAAAATAAGGATTCCCCTTGCATGCATAATACTTACATACAAACATACCTACACACATGCATGCATACACATGTGTGTGCATGTCATTGAAAGCAAATACAGCTGTTGAGAGAATGGGTTGGTAAAGCCAACTGTATCTCCTGTATTAGATGCAGGAGAATCATACAGATGGTTAGGATTGAGAAAAAGTTTCCAGATTTTGATTTTCTATTATGTGTAGTATGAGGTGACTTGTTTATTTCATGAAACACTTGTTTTCCTCATCTGTGGAGATGAAAACAACAGTGATACTTACCTTGTAATGAGCCCTGAGATAAAGTGATTCAAACAATATATAAATTCTATAGCCACATGCTTTTATAGCTGCTAATTATTTTAATTAATTTTTTCTCTGTCCTCCTTACCCTTGAATAATACTTTCAAAAAGTTGTACTCTTCTGTGACAAGTGATCCCTTGAAAGGGAAGAAGAACTGTAGGCTGAGAGTTCCCTTTCTTTACACAGATGCCTCTAGATCAGAGTATTTCTTCTATTCATCCACACATGCACCTATACGCATCCATCCATGCATGTGTGCATCTACTCACCCATTCATCTTATATTTCATGGACTCTAGCCATTTGCTATCTCTATGATACATAAAAAGATTGTTAACTTGGATATCATGGGTTTTTTTTTTTTTGAGATTTCAGAACATGTGAAGATGTAAGAACACAATTCAGTTATCTAAATCTTCAATGTCTTCCTAAAACCAAGACAAGGACCTCTATCATCTTTATAGCCCTTCTATATATACATGGTAAAGGGGCAGAGAAAGAAATCAGAGAATTAACATCCTTTATAATAGCCACAAGTAATATAAAATATCTTGGGGTAACTCTAACCAAGCAAGTGAAAGACCTGTAATGACAAGAACTTCAAGTTTTTAAAGAAAGAAATTGGAGATGATATTAGAAGATGGAAAGATCTCCCATGCTCATGGATTGGTAGGATTAACATAGTAAAAATGGCCATCTTTCCAAAAGCAATCCCCATTAAAATACCAACACAATTCTTTACAGACCTTGAAAGAACAATACTCAACTTTTTACAGAAAAACAAAAATCCAGGATAACTAAAACAATCCAGTACAATAAAAGAACTTCTGGTGGTATCACCATCCCTGATCTTAAGCTCTATTACAGAGCTATAGTAATAAAACCCACAATGGTATTGGCATAAAAACAGACAGGTGAATCAATGGCATCAAACTGAAGACCCAGATGTAAATCCACACACCCACGGACACCTGATTTTCAACAAAGATACCAAAATCATACAAAATGGAAAAAAGAGAGCATCTTCAACAAACAGTGCTGGCATAACTGGATTTCAGCATGTAGAAGATTGCAAATTGATCCATATCTATCACCCTGCACAAAATTCAAGTCAAAGCAAATCGAAGACCTTAACATAAATCTAGATACACTGAACCTGATAGAAGAGAAAGGGGGAAATAATCTCAAATGTATTGGCACAAGAGACAACTTCCTGGACACCACACCAATAGCACAGGCACTGAGATTGACAATTAATAAATGGGACCTCATGAAACTGAAAAGCTTCTGTAAGGCAAAGGACATTATCAATAGGACAAAATGGCAGCTTACAGAATGGGAAAAGATCTTCACCAATTCCACATCTGACAGAGAGCTGATTTCCAAACTATATAAAGAACTTAAGAAACTAGATATGAACAAACCAAGTAATCCAATTAAAAATGGAGTTACAGAGCTAAACAGAGAATTCTCAACAGAAGAATCTTAAATGGCTGAGAAACACTTAAGGAGATGTTGTTCAACATCTTTAGCCATCAGGTAAATGCAAATCAAAACAATTCTGAGATTCCACCTTACACCTCTTGTGAAGAGGAACACTCCTCCATGGCTGGTGGGAGTGCAAACTTATACAGCCACTTTAGAAGTCAGTATGGAGGTTCCTCAGAAAACTGAGAATCAACCTACCTCAAGACCCAGCTATACTGCTCTTGGGCATATACCCAAAGGATGCTCAATCATACCACAAGGACACCTTCTCAACTATGTTCATAGCAGCATTATTCGTAATAGCCAGAACCTGGAAGCAACCTAGATGCCCCTCAACCGAAGAATGGATAAAGAAAATATGTTACGTGTACAAATGGAGTATTACTCAGTTGGTAAAATCAATGACAGCATGAAATTTGCAGGGAAATGGTTAGAACTAGAAAAAAAAATCATCCTGAGTGAGGTAATCCAGACCAAGAAAAGCAAACCTGACATGCACTCACTCATTAAGTGGATATTAGTTGTACAATGAAGGATAACCAGGCTACAATCCACAGACCCAGAGAGGCTGGGTATCAAGGAGGGTTGCCTTGGGGGAACACCCAGATCTCCCTATATTGTGAGTGGACTGAAGGCAGGTGGGGTGGGAACATGAGAGATCAGGTTGTGGGGACATGGAGTGGTAGAGTGCTGAGGAGGTTGGCTTGGGGGAGCATTGCAGGTCACGTGGAAGCCTGGAGTAGGCGAATTTCCCAGGAGTCTACGGGAGGACCCCAGCTTAGACTTAGCAATAGTGGATAAGTAGCCTGAACTGATTGTCTCCTGTGACCAGACTGGTGCCTTGCCCAATTGTCATCAGAAGTGTTACCCAGAAACTGATGGAGGCAGATGAAGAGACCCACAGCCAAACATTAGGCAGAGTTCAGGAATCCTGCAGAGGAGGAGGAGAAAGGAGTGTGGGAGCCAGAGGGGTCAAGGACACCACAGGAAGGCTCACACTATCAACTAACCTGGGCTCATAGGAGCTCTCAGAGACTGAACCAACAACCAGGGAGCTCACATGGAACTGATCTAAGCCCTCTGCATGTATGTTATAGTTGTGTAACTTGGTCCTCTTGTGGGACTCCTAACAGTGGGAACAGGGGCTATGTCTGACTCTTTTACTGGTTTTTGGGACCCTATTTCTCACACTGGGTTACCTTGTCCAGTGTTAATAGAAGGTGAGGTGCTTCGTCCTACTGCAACTCGACATGCCATGTTTTATTGATACTCATAGGAGACCTGCCCTTTCCTGGATGGAGACAGAAGAGGAAGAGATTGAGGGGTGGGATGGGGAATTGGGGGAAGGGCTGGAGCAGAGGATAGGGAAGTCTGTGGCCAAGATATAAAATGAATACAAGAAAACAACAACAACAACAAAATCTCCATAAAACCCAGACAATGAAGAAGTGGGAAAATCAGAAAAAAAAATGGTAAGAATTAGTTCAGGTGACATATTGATTTGGACATTAAGCAGGCTGGCATTTCTATCTTAAGCTTTCCATGCCTGTTAAAATACTCTGCTTGCTGAAGTGTTCAACTGAACTAAATTTCATCTAACATCTGGCCCTTGCATAAACACAGCAATGAAAACATGTCTTGTTGCCTCCGCATTGGGTATAAATTTTAGAAATCCAATGAGTGTTGCATTCTTGGTATGCCCTTTCTTTTCCTTTTGTGTTTGAACTGATTTTGAGCTCTTACCTGGAATTATAAGAATTCAAATATTTAGCATGCACATCTCAGCAGCACAGAGCAACTATGTTGAAGAAGAGGTCTCTGTGGCCTTAATTTTGTCATGATTATTAGACACTCTTTAATTGCTCTGTCCTTGTGGCAAGCACTCATGTCAAGCCTCTTACAACACAGGAATGGGAGTTGGAAAGGGAAACACACAGGATGAATATGACACGTTTGTAGCCACTCAGGAGTTTAGAATCTAGTGGAGGAGACAGGCACCTAAGCAAATCATTTCACCGTAATATGACAAATGCTATGAGAGATACATATTGATCTGTCTCCCAAGGATTATTCACCCATCAGATGGGTTGCATACTCCATAAGTGATTAACCCCAACCTTGCAATGAAGGTCTATAACTGCTAAAAATTGAGATGTTCCTTAAACCAAGAGTAGGGTGGGGGGAGGGTGCTAAGTGCTTACTGCACATATATTATCCATCTGGATGGACAGGAGCTGCTAAACACCCTGGAGGTAGACCATCCATGTAGCAGCGCCTGTCAGTTGTTGGAGTCTTTGTGTTTGGATTCACTGTGAGGATAGCTGATGTCCTATACTCTATTTTGCAGATGTGGACATTATGAACGAAGCCAATGAAAACCCAATCTTCGCTGTCTGTAATCAGGGCCTACCCCATAAACTCTGCAGGCTTTCACAAATTATAAATGATTTCATGGGATCTACCACCATTTTGTTTGGTGTAGATTATACTCACGTATCAAAACCTCCTGCTCATTTTAATGGGAGTGCAAATACTACAACTGAATTTAAAACACCACCAAATATACAGTTTACTTTTAAAAACATTTGAAGATTTATTTGTGTGAGTCTAGTAATACCATCTGCAACAGAAGACATGGAACTCAGCCACACTGCTAATTTTTTTAATAGATTTTTCCAAATATTAGACATTACAGTTTAAATCTCTTTAACATTAACTCTAATGTTGGAATAACATTTCAGTTAATAAATAATTGTGAATATAACCATACATTTATTTTGCTTGGTTCATCATACATTACAGATTTATTGTGATTTGGGTGATAAAATGATAAATAATTGTTTATATATTTTCATAAATTGCATGTTTACTTAATCCTAAAAGAATCTAAGAATACATCTCAATGGGCTATATAACTTAGGAGTATCTTTTAGCTATTGATCCTTGACTTAAAAGAGTAACAGTATAACTGCTCTTAAATTCAGTGTTCACAGCATATATTGTAGAACATTTGTTGGGTATGTATTTTCACAGGCCATGGGAAATTATTTGCAAAAAATGAGTAGTCTCTGTTTTGATTTTTGAAATTAAAGGTTTAACATTTACTTCTGAGAATTATGGTTTTCAAAGGTTTGTGTTATTAGGATTTTCTGAAAAGCATTGAAACCTAGACATGAATTCAGAAAATTCGAGGTAAAGAAAGTGAGTTTTGTTATTAATATAGTAACCATGCTTTCCTAATAATTTCCACTCTGTCAGTTTACTGGGGAAAGGTGTAATTACTATCGGGTCCAAAATGTTCCAGATTTGCATATCTTGTAGTCTTATGATAAGAACTTTTTATAGTTTTTAGACTATTGTCTATTCAATTGTCACAGAGGCAGTGCTTGGCTCATATGTGACATTGGAGGAGGGTGTCAACATGTTGCAGCAAAGGCCCACACGAGGATTAGTGCCAGCATTTTAATCTGTTACTCTGTTTTGGAATTTTGCTTCTATCAATGAAGTTAGACTAGTGCACACATTGCCTGGATTCATCTAGAAGAGCTGTGGTGCTTTTTGGAATTGATCTCTAATAAGTCAGCTCATTTCAATCATGCACACTTTCCAGAGATTTCTATACTCCTTATGGAATCTTCAACAGTGAGTTGCTCTGGCCAGCAGTGTCTGTGAGCTGTGGTACCACACCCCTCTGATCATTGCAAGGAAAAGGACTTCTGAGTAGTGTCAAATGATAGAAGCAATTAAAACCACCAGTGACTTAGGCTCCAGAAAACACTTCTTTGTAGTGTAAAAAAAAAAATAGAAGTTTTGGAAGAAAATGGAAACATGCATCTAAAATCTGACTCCTACATTTGAAAGAAACCCTCAGAATCTTTAAAAGCATGACTCCCTCTCCACTGTTTTGACAGACGATGTGCATCTTCAGTGTATGGACCACGTTGAAATTTGGGGGCTGTCTGCGTCCTCTTCCTGAGGGAGCACAGTTGGCGTCGTTCCGTGGCGCGTATAAATCTTTTATGTCTTCCTGATTTTTCCTTTCTGATCTCTCTGCTGTGTCTGTCAGTAGCCGTCCCTTGGGAACAGCACTATGCTGTTCAGCACTGTGCACTTCATTAATAAGAAGGGATTAAAGGAAAAAGCCCTGATCTCCTAATACACTGGATAATTTGGTGCCATCCACAAGGCAAGAGACCCCTGCTGCATGGATGTCATTAGAAAGGTACAATTTCATTACTGTTTTCCTGGCAGAGCCTTGAGTGAAATTCAGACATATTGTCTTCTATGCAAAGATAGAGCACGCTGAAGCCTTCACCCTCTGCCCCTAGACAACAGATTGTAAAATCACGCCCTTTGTTTTCACTTCCATGTGGCCTGTGACGATACTGGAGATTATACTTTTATTGAATATTGGGCAACATTAAAAATTAGAGATTATTGGTATTCTTAAATCCCAAATGAGAGTCATATATTTTTATCAAATAACATGCTTGTTTTGATTGCCTACTGTGTGCCTGGCACCATGCCAGTTGCCATGGTTCACTGTTTCTCAGTCCCTACAATTTCAAATGCTATCACCGGAAATGAGTGTTAAGTGAGTACACACGAAGCAAACTGTGCAGCAACACTAGAAATAACCACAGGCCAGGGTCATCAGGAATCTGCTCGGCCATTCCTGTCAACTGAGTTGATGTTGACCTGACACGTTTGTTGATGGCCGATATCACCCTCTGAACTGAAGCACCCTGGCCTTAGGTCTATGTGGCGTATTGTGAAGACACTTGAAATAATGGGCACAAACCACCCTTGAGAGGCTTATGCCCTGGCTCTGTGAGTGCCACTCGGTTAGAGAGTGACCTTAGGCTCTGGTGTAGCATATTCGATGCCCTGAAAAAGGAGCCTGGGCTGACAGCATCTACTGTAAAGTTTGCAGGTGGCACTGAGAGGCGTACGCTAGTCTTGTAGCTGTCTGGGAACTTGCACACCAGTTTCCTAGCACCGAAGAGGATTGGGTTTAATAGTGGTCCATTATCTCGTTGCCACAAACACAAAACTGCCATTAACAATCAGAAGTCACACACAGTTGGAGAAGAAAGCCCTTGATTATTGGCTCTTTTCAAGCTCGCTAGTCTCACAGAGATGGGTCTTCTCTCTCCCACTACTAAGTTTTGTTTAGCGAAGTTGACATTTGTAGTGTGATGTCTAAGAGAAATGCTAGGCTAGACAGTTACAATGGTAGAAACTGGGGTGTCCACAGAGCATTCTACTGGCGGACGGCAAAGCAGTATGGGAAAGACAAATGGTTTTAACAAATAAACCAGGCAGTAGGATAAATACTTTAAAAACACATTAAGCTAGGAGCAGTAGGAAAGGTGGGTCTCACTGGAGCTTGAGACAGAGGTGGTCTCCTCACCCCCTTATTCGGCAACCATGCTGTACCTTGTCTACCACGTATTTTAATCCACTGTAAGTGTTAATACACTCACAGTGAGGATCACCTACAGTTGTCATGGGAAGTGAGACAGCATCAGAGGCCGGGATGGGGCAGGACCAGTTTACACCATCTAGAATAAGCAGGGCTTGGACACCAAAGAAAGGCATGATTCAGCTTGTCAAGATCTTGTCAAAAATATCTCAGCTAGTGTTTCAATATGGACAACAGAATGACAAACGAATTCCCCAGTTTTGCCAATAAATTTTACAAAGTAAATGAAGCGGTTGGAAGCTTAGGTGGTTAGTCTTGTGTGGTGCGTTTAAGACTCAGCACTGAAAACAGAACAGTCGTTTGGTGACAGGTTCCCCTCGCTCTGACACTTGTCAGGCCCCACCTCCCACCAGACTCCCTAGGCCTGTCTATCCTGAACCTCAGTGATGTCCCATGTGTATGCTCCATTAGACGGAACTAACGCATCGGCAGATTAATATTCTTTCCAGATTTCTTGACTTTAGCTCTATAGTTTCTTGGAGTTTGAGGAGGAAGAAGGATTATAATGAACTGGGCTTGGGTCTGCCAGTCAGATATTTGCCATATAAATACAAATGGCATATCAGCAATGACCCTTGCTAATTTTTTCCCTCTGAGGTAGTTATAAATAAGGGATGGCTCATGAAAGAACTTATTACTTTTCTTGTCTTGAATGAGCACAGCACTGTGACATACTGCATTTTGTCATTGTTAAATCAATCCAATGAAGTCAATATTAAAGTGAGGATTGGCAACACCAACTTCATCCCAGAGGTGCCCATATGCTCTGTCAGGCAAGACTTGACCAAATCTTGGTACACATTTTCAGTTGTAATTATTGAAAGGGAACTCAATAAACTAGTTGCATATTTGCTTTGGGTATACTTTAAAAAATATATCTGTTTTAAAATTTCATATTCATTATAGGTTTCTTCTTCCCCCCACTGACACTAGTAAAATACGTGTTGCTTAAACTGAGTAATAAGATGTGACAAGGGAAACCTGCAGGTGGCTGACTTATAACAAATCTGTCTCCTTGATGGGGGGCAGGAAGTCCGAGGTGAGCTCCAGGGAGTCTCTTCTGCTCTCAGTGCCAGCTTCTAGTCATACCGAGGACAGTACCTCTCCAGAGGAGTCCTTCCCCTTCTTCTCTTCTCCACGGTCAAGGTCAATGACGTGCACCAGCCCCGGCTTCAGAATCAAGTCTTCCGTCTCCACTTGGCTCCTGTTGTCCTCCACCTCCATGTAGCTCCCTTTGGTCTGCTGCGCAGCCTTGCTGAAGGCCTCCTTAAGGCGACGTTTGAGCTCCACGTCGGGACAGAAGACGTACTCATAAAGGGCCCCCGCCAGCACAGCTCCTATTATTGGTCCAACCCAATATATCTGGGGAAAGATGGAAGAGGAGAGGAGAGGAGTAGAGAAAAGTGAAAACTGGGCTCACTGGATAACCATGAATGTAGAATCTAACTGACTTGAATTAAAGCAGCAACTGTGTTACACACACACACACACACACACACACACACAGATGGATTTGAAAATAAATGAAAAAATATACCAAATCTACACAAAAGATCCATAAATTATTAAAGAACATTTGAACATAAAATAAGAAAGAATAATGTCTTCTATTTTCTTTATTTTAATATTATATTTTTAATATTCTGATGGTGGTGGTGGTGATGATGATGATGATGATGATGATGATGACAATTTATTTGAGACAAGGTCTAGCTCAGGCTGCTCTTAAGACTCATTACAGCTACACAGAGAAACCCTGTCTCGAAAAACCAAAAAAAAAAAAAAAAAAAAAAAGACTCATTACATAGCTTAGGCCAGCCTTGAACTCACATTCCTCAACCCTAAGCATCATGAGTGTTGAAAATATTAGTGGGTACTGTCACATCAGGCTTATCAACTTTGTGGTAAGTCTTATCATAAAATAGCTCTTCTCTGGTGGCTCCACAAATTAAGCAGACTCTACTAGGAATTCTTTAAATTAAGAAGAAAAACCAATTTTTGGAGCATGTTTCTCTTATGTATTCTATATTAACGTTGATTAGCCTTACCTTGATTTTCTGTATAATCAAGATCATAGTGCAGTTCTATCATTCAGGGTATTTGTTATTCAGTATGGCATAATGAATACAGTCCACACCCCACCATTTAGCAGTTCTGAGTGCTTACATCAGGAACTTTTTCCATTTAGAGACAAGGTCTCTTGTATCCCAGGTTGTCTTAAACTCACTATGTAGCCGAGGGTGGCCTTGAACTGCTCATCCCACAGTTTCTTCCTCTGGAGGGCTGGGATTACAGGCCTGTGCTACCATGCCCAGTGTGTATGGTACCGCAGAGAGAGCCAAGGGTTTCCTGCATGCTGGGCGAGCACTTTAGAGATTAAATTATGCCACGAGTGACCCAACGTCTATGCCTTACTTTCTTCAAAGCAGGGCTGTGATATAAATTCCACACGGCTGTGAGGACTAAATGAAATACCACTTAGTGGTTTTTCGCTCATGGAAACCAGTTCAGTTCCTGCTTCCTAGACAATTTAAAGCTCTGTGTATGACTTGGCTGTTATTAATTAGATGCGTTTCCTCTGTAAAATTCGGTGACTTTATTGCAGAGGAAACACTATAGCTTATTCATCGCTCTCATTGGAGCGTGTTTCTCTCTGCATAGTGCTTTAGTGACGACCTCTGCTGACTTTAGGGCTGGTGACTAGGTAGGGATGAGTGAGTGATTCCACAAAGTTTCAGTAAACAGCATGTTTTATCACATCCGTGATGCACCCAGAATGAACTGAGCTTTCAGTCTGATTAGGCTGGAGCGTGTACTATAGAGCACATGCACTCTATAGAACGTTAGGCACTCATCCAACCGAGTCACCTGGGACCAATCCCTTGTTTACTGAGCACTATAACGGACTGTACTGAGCACGGTTCTTATCTCATTAATAACCTTTGATACAGATATTGTTAAAACATACATTCTTGTGGATTGGAAAGTTGACAGTTTGAGAGGTCACAAGCGTACTTAAGATAGCATACTTAAATGATTGAGCTGAGATGTCTGGTTTACATGACTTCAGAACACTCTTTTACTAACTTACTGTTTGCTCTCTCACTTGAAAAAAAAGTTTATAACTATGTCTCGCTTAAAATGCCATCTGGAAATTAACTGTACTTGGCATCTTCTCTGTAGAGCCTAAAGGAGAGCCAAGCTTCCCCCTGAAGCTGAGCACATGTCCTTAACAGGGAAATAGCTGGGAGAGTTGCTGGACCAACCAAGCTCCTTATCTTGAACATGAAAGAGCCCAAAGGCGGGTTTATCTTCCCTGTACCCTTTCAAAGGAGAAACGAGAGCCCTGCTCTGAATGCCTTTGCTCTTTGTTCCCTTGGTAAGATCGCAGGAGGTCGGTGTTACTTCACAGGCCCCGAGTCCACAAGGAGAACAGGCACTGTTAAACAATCACTACCCTTCCCCAACCCTGGAGGAGACGGCTGGCCCCATGTTCTCAAAGCTCAAATTGCTATTCCCAAACAGAGTTAGTTATGTGTTCTTTAAAGTATTTTTCAACTTTTATGAATAATTTTACTGCTGAAAACAGAAAAACACATAAACTACATAAGTGTTAGAAAAAAACCTCCTAAATTGTCATTATATTACCTAATTAAAACCTGCCCATTTATTGGACAATCTATAAACTTCACATTAAAATTTTCCATTTGGGGGCTGGGACAACGGCTCACTGGGTCAAGTGTCTCCATGCAAAACAAATGTGAGGTTCTGGATTTGAGTCCCTAAGACCCACATAAGAGCAAGACACCATAGTGCGTGTCTGTAATTGCTGTGAGGACAGGAAATAGCAAGCAGAGATAAGAGAATCTCCAGGCCGGTTAGCCTGGTGGTCTGTGGTGAGCACCAAGGGACTCTGCGGCAAACACGGTGGGACATGAGAACTGATCCCTAAGCTTGTCCTCTGACCGCCACGTGCCATGGCAGGTATGTGCCTGCACTCACACATATGAACACACACAACACCTACATACATCACACACACAGAGAAAGCAAATTCCAGGTTAACATAGTAAGTCTTTTCAGAAACATCAGTGGCAAAATGACCAGTCCAATAAATGACTTTGGGGATCAAGATTTTGCATGTCTGTGCCCAAATTCTGTCTTAACAGCTCAGTACACATTTTGTATGAGGCAATTTGTACAGTCATGTGTGACATTTTCCTTGTTGCTGGGTCATGCCATCCTTGAGCAGTTGTGGCTGAATCCATTGCGGCCACATGCATAAGATCAAAGCACAAACAACAGATTGTTACATTCATAACTTTACAAAATGTAAAATCACATTCACAATATATGAATGGCAATAAAAGTTACGTCTATTTTAAGCTTGCATATATATATCATATTTTGTAGGTTATTTAAGTTAATGTATGAGTGGTTTTCACAATTGCCTGTGATTCAAAGGATATAAATTCTTTTGTTGACAGAAACAATTGAAACAGAAATGATTATGACTCTCACTACTCTAGGCCCAGATTGACAAGAAGGTTTAGTCCTGAGATTAAAAGGTGCACCTTCTTGGGGCTCATTTGTTTTTCTAGACACAGCTGTGGTGACAAATGGCATCAACATCTACATGATTTATTCGGTGTGATCCATGGTCCCCATGCTTCCAGCTCCTGTGCTATTAATTATGTTATGCTTATGTAAACTAACATGGCTAAAAACCTTTGTCATAGGTAATACTTTAAAGTATTCCTTTTAAAATAATAACTTCAATTTCTGTTGTTGCTGGGAAGGCTTTCTTTCAATGATTTAAACACTAATATTCAGCACCCCCTTAGGATTTAAATTTATTCTACATAGGAAACCCTATGTACCAAGTATTCTGCTGCAGTCTGTCAGATCTATGTCCAGACTAATGGTTCAAGGAAACCCAACTGTCAGTGAAGACCTAGAACAGAATACTGAGATCTTTTGTACAGGACTCTGCTAGGCTTTTCTCTGCCCCTGGTGACAGAGGCAATAACCAGCTGAGACTTGGAGTTGGGGAGAAAGCCACAGAAACTAGTTAGCTAATTTATGCCAATAAAAAGTCTTGTGGACAGTTGTTCCTAACTTCAGGAAGGTGGGGATGTCAATTTAGTAGTTACCCAGTGGTTTTCCCAGTTTCCCATGATAACTGCAGGTCCAAAGGATCGGGCTGGATTCATGCTGGCTCCAGTATAATTGATCTGCAGGGAAAAAAGAACAAAACCACAGACATTTTGGAAACAGGGCTCTTAACATTTGCTGAAACTTGTTGCTCTCTCCTCAGAGGAACACTGAGATTTAGCCGCTTTGTAGTTGGCCAAGTGATGGATCACTTAACGTCAACACACACGGCTGGATCTGAACGAGCTGTGGATTTTGTGGCACAATCTGCATGGTACATGTTCAGTTAGTTGGCAGACCATTTTTTTTAGCATGTACCTCTCTGCTGAAAAGATAACACTGAAATCTTACTCTTGAAATAATGCAGATGTTGCAGCGTTTTTGCGCTGGCCAGGTCACTGGTTACATTGGTAAAGGCTACAGGAGGATTGTCCTAGGAAACAATACAGTGTTCTCAGCTGATTGATACTAAAAACAGCTGAAGAGAGCTCTAGCTGTAAACAGCATCTTCAGGCCTGCTTCAGGGGGAGGCTAAGTGAGATGATCAATTATTCAAATGGACTTAAAACTTACTGCAAACAAATGTCCAATTGCGACGGAAAATCCAATTGCTAGAGCTATTGAACCGGTAACATCAGTCCGTTTGGAATCACAGCTGGCAAAAATAGTGAAGACCAACTGGAATGTGATTATCAACTCCACCAGGAGCCCGTGGCCAGCAGTAAGGTTTCCATGAACCTAGAGAGACAGAAAGATACTCCATCAGAATCGAAGCAAGAGTCTAGGTCTACAACAATGAATGGGTTTGAAGGGTCGTTTTATCTGCATTGGAAGTGATGGTTAACTTGAGTCTTCTACCAAGCCCAGGCTGAGATTTTCATGCCTTCTACCTCCTAAAAGGAAGGAATCAATTTACTCTCATTTTGGGCCATTACAGATAATTACTTTTACAGTGACTGAATTTTCACTGAATGTTGTTTTTAGCAACACAAGCAAAATGTGTTCCTGCTGCACTTAGAGCGTAAAAGACGCTCTTCAGAGATTTATAATATTACAAAGCAATTATTAGACCCATTGATTAGGTTTAGATTAGTTCCTAGGTATCTCAACTAAAGCATGAGCCCGGTGTTTAAAGCCAGCCCTGGTGCTGAGCTACCCAGTAATACTGCCAACCCACAAAGAGTAAAGTGGAGATCCAATGACTGTGGGTTCGCCCTTTTCTGTTTTTGTTTTTTCCAATGGGGTTTCTCTGTATAGCCTTGGCTGTCCTGGAACTTGCTTTGTAGACCAGGGTGCCTTCAAACTCAGAGATCTGCCTGCTTCTGCCTACTGAGTGCTGAGATTAAAGGCGTGACTCTTTATGCAGATCATCTAAAGTCCCCTACACGAAAAGCAACAAATTGTTGGCCTTGCTAGGAAACAAATAATTGTAAGGCCTTAAGCTAAAAATACAGTCAAGCCAGTCATGCTGATTTACACCTGTAATCCCAGCACATAGGAGGCTGAGGCAGGTGGATTGCTACAAGTTCAAGGCCAGCCTGAGCTAGATAATGAGTGTGAGACCCAGTCTCAGAAAAACATACTCGTCGTTACTTGAGTGAGAGAGAGACAACACAAAGCATTTTGAGACCTTTTTAATCATGTCTAAGTCACTCAATAGTAAATAATAATGTCCTCTCAATAGCTTTCCTCTATCTAGACAGGGTTTCACTATATAGTCCAGGGTGGCCTTGACTCCTGATGCTCCTCATTCCCTGGTCTCCCAAGTGCTGGGATTATAGGCAACCCCCCCCCCCATCCTCCGTGCCTGGCTCTTCTGTGTGCATTTAAAACACCACTAGAGCCGGGCGGTAGTGGCGCACGCCTTTAATCCCAGCACTCGGGAGGCAGAGGCAGGCGGATCTCTGTGAGTTCGAGGCCAGCCTGGGCTACCAAGTGAGTCCCAGGAAAGGCGCAAAGCTACACAGAGAAACCCTGTCTCGAAAAAACCAAAAAAAAAAAAAAAAAAAAAAAAAAAAATAAAACACCACTAGAATAAGTTTCCACTCTTTTTTTTAAAAGACAAGTTTCTATATAGTCCAGACTGGCTTTGAACTCGATACATAGGTAAGGACCACCTTGAACTTCTGGTTCTCCTACCTTTCCTTCCCAAGTGCTGGTATTGTAGATATGTGCCACTACATCTCATATATGTGGTGCTGGGACTAGAACCCAGGACCTCCTGCATTCCAGGCAAGCACTCCTTAATCAAACCATTTGAGGAACGCCCCTCGGCCACTGAGTCACCTTTCAGCAGAGTTTGCACACAGCCTGGAATTCTAGCACAGAAACAAGAATGTAAGCGTTCTTACCATGGTGACGCCCAAGCCTCCCACCACGCTGGGTGGTGTGACCAGGTAGAGGATACCAGCTCCAATGATGGCGCCCAGGCACTGCGCAGCGATATAGAAGACTGACTTGGCAATGCTGATCTTTCTCGTGCACACCATGGCCACTGTCACAGCGGGGTTGATGTGGCCGCCACTGATGTGTCCAAAGCACTGCACCATGGTAGCAATGCTAAGTCCGAAGCAGAGGGAGATGAGGACCATGTCCATGGGTAAGGGGTTTTCCGATCCACCCCAGTTGATGGTGGATCCCAGGCTGAGCAAAACGAATATAAGCATGGCTAGAAATTCTGCTGCGACTGCCTTCCAGAAAGCTTGAGTCCAGACCCCTTTGAAAGCCACCATGATCCTCTCTCTGCTGCACGAATGTCCACACTTACTGGAAGGAAGAACACATCGAGAATCAGGAGCTACCAACCCGGCTTTCCAGCTGGAAGGGGCGCTGAAATTTGGCAGAGGGGGTCAAGGCCTTCAGTCTTGCAGGCTGAGGATGGGCTACTAAACATTCTTTGCAAACCAAGACAGAATGCTTCTGGAAGTCTCCTTAATTAGTAGCCAAGAGGTTGCTATTCTGATCCTTCAATTTCCTCGTCTCTGGACAGCAACCCCAGCTGTCCCTAGAAATGAACTATCTCAACCAAGTTCCTTAGGAGCTTAAGAGTAAGATGTGTTTAACTGGGAGTTAGTCTCCTCAGGCACTCAGTTTAAGGGGAGGGGGTTGGCTGGAGAGATGGCTCAGCAGTTAAGAGCACTGGCTGCTCTTCCAGAGGACCTGGGTTTGGTTCCCAGCACCCACATGGTGGCAATCTATTACCCGTGACTCCGCTTCCAGAGGCTCCAAAGCCCCCTTTTTGTGCCATCTACAGACACTACACCCAGGTGGCACACAGACATACATGCAGGCAAAACATCCATCACACACATGAAAGAAATCAGTCGGAATAAAAGGGGGTAGGGCATTCAGTGTAGGACCGATTCCCAGCACCTCTTGAGCATCTCTGCACCCTCTGCTGTCTGCTGCAAGCAGCAGCTCCTGTGAGCCAGGATGAGGCCATCCCAGGGAGTGGGGGTGCGGAAATATGGGGAGAGTTGAATGGGGTGACAATGTGGGTGGTTGTTCTCATATTTCATTATGTATACATTTCTGAAGAATAAAGACAATGTATCTTTCTGAAGAATAAAGGGAAAAATTTTTTTTTCTGAACAAGGAAGAAAAACATATCTTAAAAAGGCAGATCTTTTCCAGTTTTGTATTTTGTAGTTTCAAAGAGGCATTTTGAACATGGATTTGGAGAGCGCTGTATCCACTCCTACCCTCCAGAGCGTGTGGATTTGGAGATTTGCAAGGAAGCTAGAACAGCACAACTGTCTTTCGGGAAGGTAAACTCTGGGAGGGCAGAGCTGCTCCTGTTAATTGGCGTGGGCCTTGGGGATAGGCAGGGACTCCGCAGGGACAGAGACACTCCCTGCTGTTGCCCTGAGCGAGGAGGTGGCAAACTGCCGGTGGCAGCAGCTTGGGAGCCAGAGGGGCATCTGCGCCCCAGCCCCTGGGCAGATCTGGGCTTGCAGCACCAGGACGTGACAATCGCAATCCCCAGTGGGGAGCCTGAGAGGCTTTGGAAGGGCGGGGCTGTGGGCCCTCCAGGCTGGTGCCAGGCTCCCAGGCCGTGGCCAGGTGAACAGACAGAAGTCGCCGTCAGAGGGGGCAGGCACCAGAGAGGGGAGCTTTTAAAAGGGTTTACAACGCAGAAGAGTGCCTCATCCTCCTCGGGCTCCTTTGTCCCCCAACTAGTGGGGCATCTCTCCAATACACCTGTCCCTCCCAAACTCCTGGAGGCTGGAGTAAGAGAGCCAGCCCCCTGCAGTCTACCCACCCACAGGGTGCAGAGCCAGGAAGATTAGCAAGAAAAAGGGGGCGTGTCAGGAAACAGAGCAGAGGCTCTGTGGGGAGGGTTATGGTGCTTCTCATTGAGGACTCCTCTCCCATGGGCTTGGCCCTGGAGCATTATATGGCCCCCTCTTGAGGAGCTTGTGGAGGTGAGGGAGCAGGTCCAAATGGGGTCAGGAAATGAGAGATGCCACCTGCAGCCTTTGGGAAGGGAGTCGCTCTCCTCTTGAGACTACCTTTTTTACTGACTTTCTTAGATCTTCGGAGTTGAAGAGGGTCGGATTTGAAGACACCAATGCAACTACTTATTTTAGCCAGAAATTGTTAAACTCCCTGTTGGAAGGGCAGTCACCCCAGTTACCTCCTTACCTAAGACATTCCTTTTTGTCCCTGGTCTGTAATAAGACAGATAGGCAGCATTTAGCATAGCAGACTGTACAGAGGGCTGGCTGGAAAACCAAGGGCTCAAGGAGGGTCGAATTGTCACCTCCCCGCCCACACACACACACTGTGAGGTTCTTATCTTTTGAACATCACTGATTGCCCTAGGGAGCCTGGGTTCCATGTGGCCAGTGAGTTAGCCCGGCATGACACAGGCTGGGAAGCTTTCTTCACCTTTAAGATTTCTGCTTTGCTGTTAGTTTGACAGTGGGGCTTTCCTTCTGACCTGAAAAGGGAAAGCAAGCTGTGCTCATGCTCACACACCCCGGGGGAGCAGCCAGCTACACCCCAATGTCCCCTGCCCAAGTGAGACCCGCTAAGTGAATCATGCAATTCTGAAGGACCCCAGCTGGGATAACGTTGACGTCGGCCTTAGAGGAAGATAATACAGAGACAAAAACAGCAGTTGGAATGAGGCCGAGAGGGGACCGGGGGAGCCATTAGGCAGGTCCCCCGAGGGAGAAGCTCTGAGAGCTCACATTGGGAAAGGAATGAGGAGCATCACTTCTGAACTCACCAGCAGCCCAGGTCGGAGGCAGGTGGCAGAGGGCAAAGGGCTATTACAAGCGCTGTCCTCTACAGCCCGCCACGGAGGAGGAGGACCAGGCAGGAAGTGAAGGGAGCTGGGTGGGCAGGAACAGTCCCTGCTCAGTCGCAGAGCACCCAGGGGAGGCGGTCCTGGAAAAGGCCAGCCTCTGTCTAACACCCTTTGTCACCTCACCCTGCTCATTCGCACACCTGTCCCCCTCTCCAGAGACCTGCGCAAGAAACCCAGCTGCTCTTTGAATGTCAAATCTTCATCAGTCAGAGAAATTAAAAAAAGAACAAAACACCCAAACCTGCGAACCCTAAGTAGAGACCTTAGAATGGTTTTTGCTCCCCCTTTTTCTCAAAACCCACAACCATCCGATCTCCCCAAACAGCCTCAGCCAGCTGTGGACCTCAAAAGCTCTAGCATGTGTGTACCCCTCTGTCTTTGTGGGAATCGCACCAGCATCGCCCACAGCCCCACGATCACGATCACCATCAATGTGCCCTGCTGTGTTTACATTCCAGAACAAAGCGGGGTTTGTTGATAGGACCGGGCAGCAGTGAACCAGACACAGGACTTCCTAGCTGAGTACACTGTCTCATCCCCTCCTGGACAGTTCCTGGGTGAGTGAATTTTCTAATGAAAAGTATTAGAGCAATTTCCCATGCTGAAAAGCATCCCTTTTCTTCCCCCTTTCTCTGCTTATCTTGTGTCTAAACTTGGTCCCCAGGCTTAAAAGAACCCCACCTGTCCTGTTGTCAGGCTCTAGATTCTGAGGAGACATGGATATCTGCAAAGAGAGAGTCCCGTGGTTAGTGCTCAGAGGCACCGTCTCCCTAAAGCGGAGAACTTACCCCCACCGTGGCCTTGCTGCAGCTCTGTCACTCATGCCGTCCCTGGCCAGAGTGCGCCTCTCATCGCCTGCCCCTGGGCTCCAGTGAACTGGGAGTCAGATTACGGGCACTTGTCTGATTGGGTTTTTGGAGTGTAGGGGTGGAAAGATTCTGCACCATGTGGCAATCACTAAGTTATATTTGAACTAGAAATCGTCCCTGTACCTGATCGCTATAGACACAGGGCACTTCAGGAATGCAAAGCACTTGCTGACATATTTCTTTGGCTACTAATCTTTTCAAGTGAAGACTTCCCTGCATGTTTATTTGGATTATTCCGATCACCAAGAACTGGGGAGGATTTGCCTTGTTGGTTTCTTATTGAAACTGAACGACTATTAGAAAGTGGGTTTGTATGAGCCAGCAATTCAGATGAATTGTGAGCTAGACATTAACTTTCGAGTGGCAAATAGCCAGTGAGTTATACTTGAAATGTGTGAGCTGAGAAGATAATGATAATATATAGCTGTAACTCCACTTACAGTATTTACTCCCTCGGTCCAATAATAATGATTACTATAATAATTTCTTTACATGAAGCAGCAGATTTTAAAAACACAGGGGTTAGATAAGAACAGAGTTATTGGGAAGAGTAGATAAAATTTAGTATTTGGAAACCTGGGGACAGGGATGACTATATACTTTGCTATTCAAAATGAGTGCAGGACACAGTGCTCGAAATTATTGAGGATTGTAAGATTGTCATAACAGGGAGTTGAGCAGAGTGTGGGTCCCCTCTACATCATGGCTACATGGTGGGAAATATCTATATGCCCCATCAGGCCCTCATTACAATTTTTTTCCTTAGATAGACCATAGATGCATATCAAAGGAATAATCTTAACTCCTGGTTTATAAGTGCATCTTAATAATTAATCAATGATGTCTAATCAACATAATGATTATCAGGAATTCATTGCTCAACTCTGCAATTAAAACTGTAATAAACAGTTCTACTTGTGGCTTCTCTGGCTCTCAACTGATTTCTTCATTTCAAATTGAAGACATATATGTGTGTATGTGTGCGCATGTGCGTGTGTATGTATATCTCTCTAAATAGTTTCAGTATGCAGCATGATAAGAAAGACATTTAGAAGTGAAAGACTCTTACATTTTTACATCTTTTGTCTGGGTGTCTGAATTGTTTGCTTGAGACAAGGCGACATATACAAAGCTCTCAGCTCTCCTTAGGAAAAGGGATTAAATTTTTGAATGGGAATTCTAGAGGAGCACTTTAATACCATTTCTCAGTAATCCTCAGGTAACAACACTTGCATAGACTTTCTTCAGAGTACTGTTGCTCGATGCTCATTGTGAAATCAGAATATTCTGATGAGAGGGGAGGGAGAGTTTCCCAGAACCTGCACAGACCCTTTGAAGCATTTCATATTAACTCTTGAGGTTTACTGTTTAGATTTCAAAAAGCTGTGCATTTTCCTCCCTAGTAAAACCCTTGACTTTCTAGGCTGATGTGCTAAGTGTAACTGCCTTGAACGTGAGAAAATGGAGCCAGGGTCATTATGAGGTATCTGAACTCAAGGAGTCCTGATGAGTTCGGTGGTGCTTTGTGAACACACCCTGTACCGAGGCCTAGGACTTCACAGGGCCAGGTACTTCATGGGGCCGTGGGGTGCTGGGACAACTTCTTTGCAGGTTCCCTGAGCTCATCAGCATGCTGGGTATGGCCTTGGCAGTTCCCGTTACCACCTCACACAGTGCCAGCAAGACTTGGTTGCCACGGTTTCCCTTTTCTCTGGCTGCTGATGTGTTGACAGTCCAGTTCCTAAGGGGTGAGTGTTCCCGTCAAGGGAGGAGCCACTCTATTGGCACCACCTCTTACCCTCATTGGTACTCTGCATAGTGGCTGAGCAGACAGGGGTTAACTCTTTACCCACCAGAGGGAGTTTTTATTAGCATGGTTGTCCCATTTGTAATTGAGTTGGCTTTTCTCGTCTTCCCACAGCAGTGTCAGGTTAGTGCAATGAGCAAGCTTCTTGCCTGGATACACAGACATTTCCTGTGGGTCTGCCTGTGGACCTGGGTGCAGAAAACAGCCTAGGAAGAAAGCTTGAGGGAATGGTGGCCAGGCAGTAGGAGGTAGGAAATTTAGTCAAAGTAACAACAGCTTCTAAACCGAGCTTTGCGGATCTGGGTTTAGATGCAAAGGACAGTCGGAATTCATTTGTCTCCCCACATTGAGGGCTAAGAGACCAAGTCCTTCAAAGGTGGACTGACAGGGCTTGGGTGATGACTCATTTGGCAAAGTGCTTGCCATGTAAGCGTGAGGACCTGAGTTTGATCCCCAGCACCCACATAAAAGCCAGGCATAGTGACATGTGCTTGCAATCGCAGAACTGTGGAGGTGGAGGCAGGAGGGCACACACAGGAGCTCACACACACACACACACACACACACACACACACACACACCACACACAGACACACACAGACACACACACATGCACATGCACGTACACACACACACACACACACGCACACACGCACGCACGCACGCACGCACGCACACATGCACACATGCACACACGCACACACACACCCCGATGCCTCAGTACCAGTTGGGAAGTGTCTCTAGCCTGGTGGAAACAATAATCTTGTTTCCTCTTCACAAATCTTGGCATCAGGCGCACCCCCTCCCCCAGGTCTGATGTGTCAGTATGTTCGTTAGAAACAAACACATGAACGAAACAACTCCAGCAGCTTCTACAGCCACTAAAACCGCCACAGTGAAGGACTAGTAAAGCTTTGTGCTGCTTTACTAGTCACTCTCCAACTGGTACCGAGGTATTGGTGTGTGTGTGTGTGCGTGTGTGTGTGTGTGTGTGTGTGTGTGTGTGTGTGTGTGTGTGTGTGGCATTGTCTTATGGTCATAATTCCTGGTGATTTCCGGCTTTTGTCCCCGTTCATGGAGCCAGATAAAGACAGTGCTTAAACGACAGCAAGGATTAGATTGTCGGCTCAGCATGCTGAAGTGGAGGTGAGCAAACTTGCTTCCCAGCGAAGGCAGAATCTTTTAAAAATTAATCTTTCCTCTCTCCCATGCCTCGTGGACGGGCTGGGGTTTCCTAGTCGGTAGAACAGGCTCATTTTCCTTGATTCAGACCTGTAAGCCACAGCCTTTGCTGCGGACTTGTGCTCTGCTGACATTTAAGGCAGGAATTCCCTGGGAAAATAGTCAAGAGATTCTTTTGGTGTGACTGGCGGTCCTCCAAAGGGTCTAGGGTTCCCCTGTCCAGGCAAGTGGGGAGAAAGAAAGGGAGGGAGGGAGGGAGGGAGGGAGAGAAACAGAAGGACGTTATTGAGTGACCGTGTTTCATCTGCAGCCTGCACAAAAAAGCAGAAATGTGGATGGGTGACTGGATGCTTTTCTTGCTCCTTATCTCCTACCCAGCTAATATGACAGTTCAGAGTGTGGCTAGTGCTTTAGGGGCAGTGTAGACACCGCAGGGGAAAATTGGTTTGCTGGGAAGCCAAGAGCTTTGGGATCTACTGAGCTGGACCAGGTTGAAAAACTAGCTAATCATCCAAATGCAGCTTAGAGTACAGATTGTTCCAAGTTTGAATTAGTTAGACTGTATTCGAGCTCAAGCAGCATTTTGGTGGTCACTGTCACCCGTGATGGTCACTCCAGAGCAGCTCAGAATCCTTAGGGACTTAACAGACCAACAGAGATTCAGTTTCAAGAGTAGATCATGGGCTGAGGAGAGGGCTCGGCAAGGCTGTTGTGCAAGCCGAGGGCCTGAGTTTAGATCCCAACACCGACATAAAAACCAGGCATGGCAGTGTGCCTATAATTCCAGTGTCAATAGGAGGGGCCAGGAGGAGCCCAGGGGTGTGTTCATAGTCAGTCTACCAATGAGTGAACTGCAGGTTCAGTGAGAGACCCTGTCTGAAAAGAAAACAAGGTAGAGACCTACTGTGGAAGCCCCCTGATGTTGGTCTCTGGACTCTATGTACATGCACACACACACATACCCCAGACAAGCACTCCCTCCCCAACCAATATGCAAGAGCAGAACAGGTGTTTTAAAATTCTGTGCTTACCACGATATGGCAGACTGAGCAGAAAAAAAAAATAACCTTGGGTTTTTTGTTTTTTTTTAAGCTTTTACAGTGATGTCAGTATCGGAACGTTTTCCAGCGCAGAAGTAGCTCATGACTACTAGAGTCTATGACTCCCTCAAAGTAACTGATCTGCGGCAGTCAAGCAAGGAAGAATGTGCTCAGATGAACTTTGTTGAACTCAGAACTTCCTCCCTTTCCTCCTCCTCTGCACTTCCTTTTCTCCTGCATTTAGAAAGGCACATTTGAGGAAATTCACCAGGTCCCAGAAGTCTCCTTTCCAGTGATTTGTGTATGTTGTTGCACCCTGGCCTGTGTTCCTGTTGTAGAGACCCCATGCTGCTACATCTTGCCAGTCCCTACCTTGGTGGTCTTAAAGGTGACCCCTTTCCCAGTCTCTGTCACATGATTCTCTGATTTGTCTTTAAACACATCTGGGCACTCACCTCTTCTTGAAGCATTCCCATCTGGGGTAATTTGAAGTGTGCCTGGGTCTCCAGTTGGTGGTTCTGTTTGAGGAGCTGAGGAGGCAAGGCCTTGCTGGATAAAGAATGTCACTGGAGGTGGGCTTTGAGGCCTTGTCCCCCACTTCTGGCTCATTCTATCTCTTGTGTTAGTAGTTGGGATGTGCGCTCCCAGCTTCCGGCCCTGGGTGCCATGCCTGTGGCTTGCTGTCATGCTTCCCTGCCTCAGTGGACTCCTATGCCTCTGGAACCATAAGCTCAAATAAACTCTAACGTCTACAAGTTGCCTTGATCATTGTGTTTAATCATGGGGAAAGAAACATAACTAAAACAACAGCAAAACCTTGTCCCTCAGTCACTTAAAAAATCGTCACACAAAACTGAGGAGATGGTTCAATGGGTAGTGTGCTTGGCATCCATCCACATGGACAGGAGTTCTATTCCCAGGACCTATGAAAAAGTCAGGCATGTGATATACACTTGTTGAAATTGTTTTTTATAATACTCCAAAGAGTACACGATAATGATTTTATAAACTATGGGAGCATGCAGTTGCTATTGATCATATTATCTTTTTAATTTTAGTTATTTACATGGTCCTAGGGATTGAACACGGTGCCTCATGCTACTCTATGGTGGGTTTGTGGTGTGTGTGCAGGCTTGACCTACACTATGTTACACAGAGGTGTCTCCAAACTGCCCACTATGCTGTGTGTTGGATATAGTTTTTGTTAGTTAAAAAAAAAAAGAGGTTTCTGGGCTACACATTGCTTTGATAGAAGCACAGACCCACTGTTTCTAAGAGTTGATGGCTCCCAGAGCTGGTGGTAAACGTACCACTGTGATGTTGGGAAGGTGATGAGGGCGGAGCCCCTCCTCCCTTCACCCAGGCTGAGCAAAGCATCCCTGCATAGGCCCCAGGCTCTAAACAGCCAGCTCAGGCACTAAGGACAGGTCCTGGCTCCACTGCCTGGGTGCCTCCCAAACAGTTCAAGCTAATCGACTGTCTCACTTGTCCAGAGGGCCTGATCCAGTTGGAGGCTCCTCAGCTATTGGTTCATAGTTCATGTGTTTCCACTAGTTTGGCTATTTGTCCCTGTGCTTTTTCTAATCATGGTCTCTACAGTTCTTGCTCATACAATCCCTCCTCTTTCTCTGGCAAGGGAGATACCATGATTAGTCTTTGATATTCTTAGCTGCAGAAAGACATTTGATTGTAAAAGCTGTTGAGTTAAGCCAATATGTATATTTTAAAAATACCTTGACTTCAAAATTTGGATCTAAGGTTATGTTGCTTTGGAAAGGAGGCTCTGCTTTTGTTTCCACAGAAAGCCAGAGGCTATGGATTTGTTCCAGATTAAGATACATCAGGTTTGACCAGCCAAGACCCCCTGAAAGATCTCCAATGACACCATGGCCCAGATGATCCAACATCCAGAATGGTTTCAAGGCAACTGGCTCAGACAATATAGCCTCATGGAATACCCCATAAGCTTAAAAATTTGTTTCCCCATAAGATATAGCCCCCCTCCAGCAGGAAGTAGTATGAGAAGCTATGCCCAAATTCGCCAATATACCAAGCTGGCTTTGGAGATGGAATTGGCTCACTCCTTCTCTAAAACCAAGTATACTGAAAAAAAAAAAAAGGTTGAGAGATTCTTTTGTCCCATATCAGAAGAGCCCTCTGGTGTGGAACAGAGAAAAAAACATTATATTTTATTTAAATCAGGTTGATTATAAATGCGATCTCTTTCTAAAGAAGAGTTAAGGTTATGTTTGTACAACTCATTTAAAATTGTAATGGATAATTAAGAAATAGATTAATAAGTAGTCATCTATGATAATCATACTTGTAGCCATGTTAGTTAAGTGTTCTAGTATACATAGATATATTTCAAATAGATAGGTAATCTTCAAATACTTCAAAGACCTACAGGATATGGCATTTAAAATGTTTAAAACTTTAGACTTTCTGGACAATGAGACATGTCTGCTCCTGGCAGCACTGATTTACTTCAGAGAGGAGGATGGGCATCAATGACACTCTATATGGAGGAGTTTATCTTCTTGGCAAAAATAGCCATTTGGGCAAGAAACTGTTCTTGCCTGGACTGCTTGATCAACTGGACACACAGGACCCATAGGAAGGTGACCACTAAACTTCGCTTGGCAAAATGGTCCTTCAGGTTCCTGCTTCTCAGAGGAAACTATCAGACATTCTACAGGACACAGAGAGAAGTGACTGAGAGACTCCAAGCCTGTGGGCTGAAGACAGATGCCCCAAATTTACAGAGAAACTTTGGATGACTATCCAGGCCGCCAGCTGTCTCTGTCTACTCTCACAAGACTCCTGAAAGTTGCTTGTATCCTTCTCCCATTTTTCAGGTAATAGTATATCCTTCTGAGGTCTTTGATGTAGTTGAAGACTAGTTATAATTTTCCTTAGTTATGATAAAGACAAGTTAGATATGAAACCTTAGACTCACAAATATAGGATAGATAGGATATCTTCTTTAATTTTGCCAAATAGACTAGATAATATAGACTAGATATTATAACTGTAATTCTTGCTTGATAATTGTTTTGTTATATGTAATTTTACTATGTGAAAGTTAAAACCTTCCTTTTTGACAAAAAAAGAAAGCAAAGGGGAAGTGCTGTGGATATTGCTCTGTGTAAATAAAATGCTGATTGGCCAGTAGCCAGGCACGAAGTATAGGTGGGACAAGCAGAGAGGAGAATTCTGGGAAGTGGAAGGCTGAGGCAGAGAGACACTGCCAGCCACCATCATGAGAAGATGTTAAGATACCAGTATGCTACAAGCCACGTGGCAACTTATATATTAATAACCTCTTGCATATCAGGGAAATATTTATAGACCCTAAGAATGTCATTAATAAAAAAAAGGCTTTAAGGTTTTTTTTTTTTTTTTTTTTTTTACCCTAGTTCCTTGTATCTTGAGGGGCTCATTTAGGCCAGAAATGAATAATCCTGTGATGATGTTGCCTGACCCATGGCTCGTCACCTTTTTACCTGCATAGTCTCTGCTCTCCTCCGGGATCGCGTCCTGAACCGGGCCATTTTAGGGGGATCCAACAACTTCACCAAGGCCTTGGTCTTCCTCCGGGAGACGACTTTCCGAACTTTAAGAGGTGGTTTCATCCACGTTTGGCTCCAGTCGCCCCACCTGCAGGGCTTCAACCGGTTCTCGACCACCCTAAGGAGGGAATGTAGGGACAGGAGATACAAAGGAAAGACACCAAGTCTAGATTCTGATCAAGGTGCCATTTTATTTCTTTTTCACAAAGGTTTATATAGTTCCGCAGGGTGGAGGGAGCAAGAAGCTGCCATCTGCATAAGGTGGGGCAAGCTAACAGGATGTTTGTATAGGATGTTTACAGGGTGAGAGGGTCAAGGGCTCTGACTCAATGTCCTGTTGCTAGGCAACCTGACTGTAAGATGATCTAGTTCCCTGTCTTATGGGGGTCTGTATTTT